TTGTTTTAATATGCTACAAACAGGGTGTTTTAAGGTGGGAATAAAGGCAAATCTTGGCTTCTATGAGTTTGTCATTTACCTAATGCAAGTTTTCTTTGAACCTTCACAGCTCTTTGTCGTTGTTTGGATTCTTGCAAAAATTGTTGTGGCATGGTCCAAGAAACTGGAAACATTATTTAATATAATTGTTCTTTTAAGCAGCAGCATGAAATAATGAGTATGGTGTACTTTAATTGGTGGCATCCAATTGACTTTTTATGAAAGACTTGAATTGTAATAAAAGCAGGGAACACAAGTTGGTTAGTTCCTATACCCCAGTGCTGTCATCTTTGGGGAAAAGAAACAGCACCTCTTGAATATTAAATGGCAGATCCAGTATGTATTAGGTGCTCAGCTTTTGGAGTTTGGTGGGTTTTTTTAGGTTTTTTTTTTTTAATCAAATATCTTCTGGGGAGGATTTTTGACACTAAAATTATAGGATTGGTGCCCACTCTAAGATTTATGTTGATAATTGAAGCTGCTTCCTCTCAATAAAACATAAATGCAGTTTAAATAACTAGCTAAAAGAAAAGAAAGATTTAAAAAAAAAATTGTAGATATGTAGAAAGATGATAACTTGGTTGTCAAGGCCATTATACCCCTCAGGCAGTTGTCACTAAATCTGTGGTTAATGCTCACTATGTGCCAGTCAGTTAATCATGCAATTTTTGTACCTTTCTGATTTATGTAATTGTGTTATGAAATTTGCTAGAGAAATGTTACTTGATAAAATGCTAAGATTAAAAAAAAAAAAAAAAGTTAATAGGCATTTATGTTATTTATCTTCTGCAATATTGTCTAGCAAAGATAAAAATATATACGAGCATTCCTGGATGATCCTGAAGGATTTTTTTCCCCGCTTAGGGTTTTGAGTCTCAGTTTTCAAGAAAGTTTAGAGGTCAGTCTTTATGCTTTCATTCTGTACAGTGCTTGAAGTACATGCAGAGCCAGTTAAATGTCAGTGTGGAAAGCTTGCATACAATATATCTGAAAATGGTATTTCATTTATTTGTGGTCTGGGCCAGGCTTACAGAAACAATAGGAGGCTTGTACTGTATTGTGTGCTGGCTAGCTAGCATTGCCTGCAAAAATTCAAGCACGGTACGTACCAGCATATGTCAAAACTTTGGTTTTTAAAAGATGTCTTAACTGCCTTTTAAACATCTTACATCAAAATTGGCTTTTTATTTTTTCCGGAGTGTCTTAGAGCAATTGATTTTAGCTCTGTAATCCTTTGTTTCAGTGCCTTTCCTTGGGAATTATATGGGAAGTGAGTAAAAATATAAACAAAATAAGGTTTTTAATCCCTCTCTAGGCATTTTTACCTTGGAAAGAGGGATTTTAAATTGGTCAGCCCACTTGTGAAGGCAGAAGTATTGAATGAGTATTTTACACAAAAGCTGTGTAAAAGTTCAGGATGAGTAGACACAAATACAGCTTTGCAGTAACTGAGATGTGTTCTCAGGGACCACAGAAGTCTATTAGAGTTTTTTTTTTTGGTGCTGCAAAAGAGCAGTGCTGGTTGGCACAATTTTCTTTACTTGTGCTCTTAGCTCTGCTTTCACTGGGATTGGCCTGTGCCAAACCTCTTGGAGGTGCTGCTTAAAATTTGGCTTTAGTGTGATGTGCAGGCTTGGGGTGTGCAGGCAGCAGAAGGGTATGGAAGCTTCTTGGCTTCTGTCTACCCAAACCCTAATCTGAAGAGTAGGTTTATTGCTGTTTGAAATGTTTTGTATTTAGTGATCAGTAATGTTCATGTAAAACTACCCATAGTCTGGCCACACTGACAGAGATTTTTGAGAATGTGGAAGTGCTAGCTGAATAGTTAAATATTTAATTATCTTGAGGTGAAGAAAATGTGAAATAAAATTGTACATTTTAAAATACTTTCATATACATAAATATATATTATATATGTATATATAGGACATATTTATCATATATTTAAAACACTAGTCCCTGGAGCTCTTCTCTTCTTGTCTCCTTTTCCTGTTTCCATATCAGTTTATGGTCTATTAACCTGCAGTGAATAGATCTTGTGTTTCTTTCTGTTGCTTCGCAGCTGTTCAAACCCCATGCTAATAATGTTAATAAAGAATCTTGGCATCTGAGATTTTAATAATCAGGAATTAGTGACCCAAGAGACTAATTTTTATCCATGACAAAGTTGTGCTTCAAGACAGAGAGAAATAAGGAAAAGAGCAATTTGAATTTGAGTCAACATTTTAAAATGCTGAAAGTTTTGATAGCTGTTTATTCCCAATTTGGAATTCTTGGGTACCCAGCAGGTTGTCATATTTTTCTAAGGTGTGTATCTATACAGATTAGTGCTGGGGTTGTATGTTTTGTTTGTTTGGGGTTTTAGGGGTTTTTTGTTCCTTTTATTTTTCCTTTATTTTGTGTTTTCTTTTTGTTTGGTTGGGTTTTTTGGGATTGTTTTTCTTTTATTAGTTTGGGGTTTTTTGTTGTATTTTTTCTTAATGCAAGTTATCAGCTCAAATTTTGACATAGTCTGAAATCGAATGCTTTTCTAGAAGAACATCTTGTTTAGAATTACCTTGTCTAGAAGAGCATCTTAGTTGCTTGTAACTTTTATGCTGGATAATCTTTCCTCACAGTTTTTTCTAAATTGGAGACATCTAGAATTTAATGAAGTAAAAATTTTCCCTGATGCAGGAGGCATAAGAAGCGCCCAGGCCCTCCAGGCACTTATACTTCTATGGCACTACTTACCAAGGAACTTAAGAAGCGACAATAGAAGTGAAATAAACCAGCTCTGTGGGCCCTGGAAATGTCAGAGTTACTCTGTAGATGTTGCATGAATTAATGGCCTTTCCAGAAGGTTGCATGAGGTTGGCTATGACTTTGGGTTGTAGATTAGAAGTACCAGTTCTGCTGGTTGAGGTGGTCTGATCTCTGTGGAGCATCTGTAGGACTAGTTTTTGTAGTTCAAGATATGCATATGCACATATGTATAAATTTACGTACAAGAATTGATCCATATAAAGATGGATGTGATTTTGGAACATGGCCATTCACTAAAATTAGGTCCCCTGTTGAAAAAATGCTTTTGAACATGCTCACTTGGGAGAACCTTGCACACGTTCAAGTGCACTAGGGTTCTCTTTTGTGTACTTTAGGATGTTAACAGCTGTTCTTATTAAATGCTGAGCTACGAGGTGATGGCTAAGCAGTTGTTTTGCAGAACACCGTGACTGTAGCTGGCAGTGATTTCCTAAGAAAACTTTCCCTTTTTACCTCGCAGGTTCCCGTCTTCGACAGGAGGATTTCCCGCCTCGAATCGTGGAACACCCCTCGGATCTGATTGTTTCCAAAGGAGAACCAGCCACTCTGAACTGCAAGGCAGAGGGAAGGCCGACCCCCACCATCGAGTGGTACAAGGGGGGGGAAAGGGTGGAAACGGACAAGGATGACCCGCGCTCCCACCGGATGCTGCTGCCCAGCGGATCTTTATTTTTCCTGCGCATCGTGCACGGGCGCAAGAGCCGGCCGGACGAAGGGGTCTACGTGTGTGTGGCAAGGAATTACCTCGGGGAAGCTGTAAGTCATAATGCATCGCTGGAGGTGGCAAGTAAGTACATTTCCCTCCTCCCCCACTTCGGTAACAGCCGCTTGCTTTGATGTTATTTGAAGATAAAAATAAGTGTGAGCTGCCTCTGAGGCAGTGACTTAAAAGCAGTGAAGGAATTACACGGTTAATTATTATTTATACAGAGATAGAAAAATAGAAGGAGAGTCAGAAGATGTGTCACTGGAGAAATTCAGATGATTTTGTGTGTTCTTGCTACTTCTGTGCTTCCGTGAAATTATGATTGCTTTATGTTTGTAAGATTCTGTATACTTAATTTCAATTTATATGTGTTTTTTCCTCTCCAGATAATCATCCAATTTGTGTGTAATAGGAGGCAAGATAACCAGACAGGATTTGATCTAACAGGATAATCATTGCTGCACAAATAAACACTAGAAAGAAGAATGGCAGATTTAGAAACACAATTTTTTTTTTTTTTTTTTTTTCTTTAAAAGAACTCGCCCAGAAAATTATCTCTCTGGTTTTAAGTATTTGGCCAACGGAAGGAGCAGTCAAGTATGTTCACATCACTTTGTAATGCTTATCTCTTCCTGTATATCCTTTAAACTCTACTTGTTGTAGAGGAAGAGAGCGTACATTAAAGTGGTTTAAGCATTCATATGGAAGGCCAAGTGTAGGTAAAAAAATCAAATCAGTTTTAGGGGTACTAAAGTATGAGAGGAAGCCTTGCAATTCAAAGTTAGGTATCTATTTTGAAGTGGCTTTTACAGGCTTCCTTTGTAATGTGTAGCAATCCACCTGGTGTCCTGTTGAAGAGCAGCACAGAACTGGGTGAGTCACTCTGAAAACACTAATCTCTGTTGACTGAATGATTCATGTTGTTAAGGAGCTCTGAAGAGGCTCCTATCTCTTAGATAAGCTAAGTGCCACTGTTGGTGTATAATTTTAGAAGGGTTAGATTTTCATAAGTCTCACACAAGGCCAAGGAAATAGACTATAAATCTGAGCATTTACTTGAGCCCTGTGTCTAGTCCCTCATATTCAAGACAATCCCAAGGACTTTGATAACTGCTCCAGAAAGATCTCGAGCTTCACATATAACAGCGTAGATATACATGATTAAGATCGTGCTGCTTCCTTCCTAACCACTTCTAGTGATAAAAGTAATCAGTTTCTGGGTAGCTGGAAGTAGGCTTATCCAGTAAATGTGTAAACTTGTTTGAATCATACTCTGACTCGTTACTCCCAAATGCTGTTATCTGCTATTGTGTAAGTGTAATTTTGAGTGGGCATTAATGGTTGAGATCTTGATTTTTATCTCATTGCTGTTTCATTTATAGCACTTCACTTTGGTTCTTAGAAGGGGTTTTAATGTTCAATGCTTATTTCATTTTCTTTAAGTTTCTGATGTACCTTGAAGCACAGTGTTTCTGTGTTTCTCATCAGAACCCAGAAGCCTGAGGTGGACTTCAATGATTGATGCACTGTGGCATGCATCAATTCAACTGGTGCATAGTTATTAAATGTGTTTGTCACCCCTGGCTCAACTAATTTTCTGGTGATTATAGTAGAGAGTCTTACCAACAGGGTCTAAATGCAAAATATTGATATTGCCACAAATTTTTGAAGAGCTTCTGCCAACACTTGAGACAAAAATAACAATCTTGGAAGTGTATAAATGTACACCATTTAACAAAAATCTAGCATTAAATTGTTAATATTCCTCAAAGTGGATGTCACTAGCCCTTTTATCAAGGGCTTTTATCAAAAAATAACCACCAACAATGCTGTAAATGAAAAAAAAAAATAAAAAATCACAATATCTATTTGAAAACCAGATTTGTAGGTATAATGATACAGTTTTAGTTGCATACCAGGACATCACAGACAAAGAATTTTAACAGCAAAGGTTATTTTTTTAGTAGAAAGGTACTGATGTGATAATGCAATAGCACCAAAACACTTCAAATAATGCAGAAGAAGTGAGGAAGAAGGAAAGAGTTGAAGGCTGGTGGAATAAATTTGCATTAAATTAAAAAGCTCTGCATTATAGGTGTGATGCTGTCGTCATTATAAACTGGAGCTACGTTCACAGCAGTTTGCTGATTTGTTCTCAGTACGTTGTGCTGAGCACAGAGCATTTACATTTGTATGCCTGTAGTCACACACACTTGCTGGTTTAGAAATCCATATGTTACAGTTTAATTTTTGTATGTTTACGGAGTCGAATTGCCTTTGTTTGATTTCTGCTTTTCACAAAGTATAGAGTATGATTAAGAGTGCTCATTATATGCTTTGATGCTACAATTTTAACTAAAAACCTTTTGTGAAACAGGAAGCAGCATCATGTTTTGGAGTTCACCTGCTAACTCTGACTGGAAGAGGCAGCTCATGTCTGCACCAGTTTGTTTCACAGTGTGATAGGAAGTTTATCACTTCTCTTCCATCATCTCCTATAGTAACACGTTCAGTTATATTAAGTTCCTTTGCTTTTCAATGAGTGTTGTACACTTGACTTTAGACTCAGGTTAATACTAAAGTAAATTTTCATATCTTTTATGCCTTTATGCAGTTATTTTTCAACTTTTTAAGCAGTTCCCATGCTCATCTTTTGAGATTAATTCACAAAGAGAATTCGTTGCATATGTAATCAGAGGGACATCTTCCTTAAGCACATTGTGCTTAGATTCCGCAGTTGCAAAGAAGGAAATGTAGTGGGATTTCAGAGCTACAAAGATTTCAGAAGATTGCACTGTATTAAAAGATATTTCATCTTTTTAAAATACCTGTGTGTTTTAAGAGCTTTCAAAACAGCGTTAGATTTAGTTACCACAGGGGAGCAGTGACTTAAATCAGAGTTGAAGATGATTTTCCCTCTGCTTTGTCCCTTTCTCCTTGGTGACATGACTGACATTTGCATGACATTTAATTTAATCCAGAGGATGCTGCATTTTATTTCACTTATATATATATCTAAGTAATGATATTGTTAGTCCTCAGTTAATACCGTTGAACATGACCTAAATAGCATTTATTATCAGCAAATTGAATTAAATAAGTCTCTTATTCAATCTATGGCTCTTGTGACCCTTCCAGAATGTTTGAAGATGCCATGTGTCTATATGCAGCATTAAGGACTTGTTACGTCTTCTCCACAGTCCTATTTTATTTTATATAAAAGTATTTGTACAGTTGTATTTGCTTAAGTTTCTGTGGTTATTACTTTGAAACCATGCCCCATCCCCTAAAAATCCTTAAAAACAAGGTGGTCCTCTGGCTGGTGAAGAGTGGTATCCTACATCTACCAAAAATCTTTTTTAGCCAGCCACTTGGTATTTCAGGAATTATAATCTTTCAGACCTTTGGAGACCAGTAAAACTGCTCTCTGTTGCAGCTTTGTAATTCACTATTACTTCACATTTTCTTTGTAATTTAGATCTGTCGTATCTTCATAAATGGGAAAGAGATAAATTTGCATAAACAAGAACTCAAATGTGAATCACAAGTCAGTCAAATAAGCGATGTAACTCCTGTTTAACTAGGGCATTTATTTTTTTTAAGTTGACTTGTTTCACCTGTGTTTGAAATCCCATTTCCACAACTTTCTGCAATGGAGACTGGCTGTATGTGTTTGGAGTTCATTTGCAGAAGGATGCAGCTTCTGCAGAGTGGCCCAGAAGGGGTGAGTGATGGGATAAGCAGGTAACGGGGCTGGAGGCATCCTGCAGACTGAGGCTGCTCCAGGTCCGTTTCCCTCCCTCTTCCTGACTTCCTGAACTCAGCCTTTTGATCACCAGAGACCTTCTTAAATTAGCTCCATGTTTTGTTTTGGAGGAATGTAACTGGTTTTGGATTACTGCCTACCAGTGACATGTTCTCCGCTGGTGAAAGGTCCTAAAGAAGGTAGAAAGGGCATGTCCCTGTCAAAATGAAGCTGGGTAATTCTCTCTATAAATGTCAGCTTTTACAGGTGGGAGAAGAAAGTGGAATCATACTTCATCCTCCGAGTAAAGGCTCAGAAAAAACAGTTGTTTTTCAGAGTAGAGAAGTAGAAGCAGTTTTGAAAAAGTGCATTAGCAGACTGGAAAGTGTCTGCAAGCTGTTTGAATCTCTCAGGGTTATCTGGTGAATGGATCCACCTGATTAAATTCATTTATTGGTGAGTGATAGTTTGATTCAAGTGTTTAATTTTTTTATTTTTTTTTTTCTGTTATTCCTTTTTGAGGAAAATGTATCTCTGGATCTTGTGGATATCTATTAAGTAACAGATTTGTAGAAGCCTGCTCATCTGGAGAGTGCCAGCAATAGCTGCAAGGGTGTATTCATCTTCCTTTCTCTACTCTAAGGATTTTTCAGGCTGTTAAGAAAAAATCAAATACAAATGAAGTTGGTTATGTTTGCCTAGTCAGGGACTCTGCAAATCTGTTTTTCAAATCATATTTCTCAAAGCTTGTTTCTCTTTTGCCACAAAAGTTCTTTCCCCTCACTCCTTGCCTTGTCAGAATGAGTTTTTGGAGAAGGGGTATATTTATGACCAAGGTATTTGGCATGATTCTTTCATGTGTAGCTTTGTCATCATCATAACGTAATTTCCAGTGCATACTAAATGACGGCTCTAGTTCTAAAAATGCTTTGTTAGTTTTAAGATTATAGAATCTGAAGATCAGTTATGACTTTCCTGTAGTTCGTTTTCCTATTATGCAGAATATAAGCTGCTCAATTAGCTGCAAAATTCTTTCTCATTTTTCATTAATTTTAATTAATATACAGCCTTCCTCAGTTATTGAATGTATTATTGCCTACAAGTTAAGCAATATTGTCAAAATTCAGACAGTTAAATTTGTTTAAATAGACCTTATGTGTGATCACTGACATGTTGAGATGGGAAAAATAACTCCTTTCTTCAGCTGCATGAGAACAAATAAAACATTTTGGATGCATATCAGAACTTCCATCATTTGAGGCATCCCATGTGCATGGCAAGCATGTGCTGTTTATGTTGCTTACAGTTTTATTTGGCAAAGTCTCACAAAAATCAG